AATGTGAAGTAATAATTGCAGAAACTATTAACCGGTTTGCTGAGCAAACGAGAAGTCTACTTTTTAAATAATTTTCGGAAAACAAATTGGCAAGTACATATCGTCCGCCGCATGCCAGAAACATGAATGTGTAAAGATGAAAATTTTGGGATTTTTTTTATACTTTTTAACTTTATAAGCTTAAACCGTTTTGTCATTTGAGGGCCTTTTTTCAAAAAAAATCTTTAAGAAACTATTTTTATTCATAAAAAACTCCATTTTTGGAGGTATTTCCAAGTCGGTCCTGCTCACGTAAATCTTAATATTTTCAGAAATATTTTGGTGGACGTCTTAAAATATAATAGATTTTATAATTCCAATAGAAACACAGTACCGATTTTTTTTTTGTATGGGGAGCGATGTATGTAAATGTGTATAAATGTTATTATTATTTACTATACTTCATATGTATGTACATAGAGTGAGGAGCAAAAATGACAATGTTGTACATGTCAAATTTTTTTTGATAATTTCTGATAAAAAATATTATCCATCCTATAGCCAAACCGTAAAAAGTTATTTGAAACTTTAATTGAATCGGTTTTGGCTATAGATAGCATGAACAATATATTTATCACAAATTAAAAAAAAAAAGTTTCAACATGTAAAACATTGTAAATATTCATTTTTACTCCTCGCTGTATGTACATACATATGAAGTATAGTAAATAATAATATCGTTTATACATACATAGGTATTAGAGGTATACGCCGCCGCCGCCGCCGTTTTTTGTCATTCCTCACGCGCCGCCGCCGAGTTTCGAAAATATCGGCGCGGCGGCGGCGGCGTTCGGCGCCTAAGGAATTTTGTACAAAATTTTCATAATGTATGTACATTGAATACATCGTTTGAAGGAACTAAATACTACTTGTATAAAAGCACAATTTTACGAAATGAAAATTACATTTTTAAATTAGTTTTTTTGCATAGTTTGGGCCACTGGACAAGAATGTGATCTCCTTTATTTTTCCAAAAATAGCATTACTCATAAAAAACATAGGTAACATATTTTTCGACGAAAGCGTTTATTACAGTTTAATTGGGGTCGAATATTGGTAATCTAACGATTTTTTTCCGTTAAAGTTCCCCCTTCATGGTAAACATTAGTATTATTTTTCATTACACTCGGTTTGGCGCTTAATATTTTAGTGGAAATTTTAACCATCTATAAGCCATTTTTTTCAACAGTGGGTCAAAAAGGCCCGTTCTGGTTCGAGGTTATGGGTTAAACTTTTGGAAAAAAGTAGACCCACCTTGTAATCCGCAAAAAATCGTAAGATCACCGTAATTTAACATAACGGTTGATAAGATTATGGCGAAAATTTATTGAGAGCGACATAAATTACCCCAATAACTAAACTTCTAAAATTTTTTTTATTTGTTTAAATTTAAATAGTACATACGGATCTGTAGAGAACATAGAGATCCGTGTGTGTATGTATGTATATACCTCAGACCTTCTTCTGTTCGCCCATCAATCAGAGCCAGACACTCAACATTCTAATTCAAGTGGAAGTAACAATATTTAAATTTAAAACTAATTCAATAATGAAATAAATAGAATAATAATAATAGAATAATTGGCATGGCGAGTGCCTAACGCTGACGAGTTGAAATGATAAGATTAGTAGCCTCATGGCTCTTTGAAATCTACCTTATGAGCAGTAACGCCGGCGTCGCCGCCGCCGCCGAATATTTTTGAAGTTGACCACGTCGCCGCCGCAAAGCCTGTCGGCGTAAACTTCTAACATGTATGTATATTTAAACATATGTATGTATTATACTGCATACATATGTTTTAAATAATGATATTTATAATAACTTGCCAAATGAGAAAGTTAAATTCTCGGTGGTCTAGTAATAACTCAAAAATATTTCACTAAAATGGCATTCGTAAAAGAGATCAATAAAAAAAAACTTGTTAAACAAAACACTTATATATGTAATTAAATTTATGGACAAGGTTAAAAATTGAAATTTTAATTGGAATTATGTACATGGTTAAAATTTCAATTATCGACCTTTCTTGCACTTCTTCAGGTTTCTTTTTTAGTAAATCGTCTACCATCAAAAAACAACCGTCATTTTTCGACTCCCCAACTTTTGACTTTGCTGTGAATACAGTCTCAATCGTGCCACACAACTGGCTAAATCGTTCGTGTGCCTCTTCTTCCAGCCGCTGACGTTTTGGAGCCTTTTGGATGACTCTACGCTGCACTGGCTATCGTTTATCGCCGCATCCACGCACTCGTCCTGCACTAGTTCTACCCAAGAATGATAGAATACAAGATTGCGCCGATTGCAGCAGAATTCGCGAGAGTAATTTTGGCGCGACGTCACCGTAGAGTTGACAAATGAGAGCGGCAAATAAAACTGCTGTCTAGTGATGTGCTGAATTGTCGGTACCCAATACTTAAAAAAGGTTTCGGTACCCAATACTTCCTTATCGGTACCCGATACTGATTCTTTACTTTAAACTTTCGCCATTATATGCATTTCAAGTTTAGAAAAAACGTTCATTACTAATTTATATGAGCGACAAATAAAACTGCTGTCTAGTGATGTGCTGAATTGTCGGTACCCAATACTTAAAAAAGGTTTCGGTACCCAATACTTCCTTATCGGTACCCGATACTGATTCTTTACATTAAACCTTCGTCATTATATGCATTTCAAGTTTAGAAAAAACGTTCATTACTAATTTATATGATATCGGCTTAAACTCTTGAACTTATCGCAACAGAGAAATATTATTTTATCAGTTTTAACCTTAGTCGATCCAAGATTAAAGAAAAATACTTTTAGGATGAAGAAGCCTGTCAGGGAGGAGATTCTGTAACCAGTTAGCGACAAGTTTCGGATCGATATCGCACTTGTTGGCGTAAAAATATTTCATATCATACGTCAACAAAACCGATACCGATTCGAAAATTGTCGCTAACAGGTTATAGAATCTGCCCTTATGCTTCCAAAAATGATATCGTCCGATTCAGTTGGAACAAAAATGCTTCAAACAGTAAGAGTTTCTCTCTATTATGGCCTCAAACCGACATATATACATCTTTCATTTGAATCAGTATTAAAAGCTCTATTGGCTCCTACATTTGGGTTTTGATAGGCGTTTTTGCATATTTTTGGCCTATGTGCGCTTTTATTCGAAACCTAAATGTTTCGGTACCGAGTATCGAGGGTATTGGATACTTAAAAGCATTGACTCAGCACACCACTGCTGTCATCTCGACTGTGACGTCAGCAAAACAACTGATTTTGTCAAATTCACTGAGAGCCGATTAGCGGTATTGCCGTCGGCGCCACCTTCTGTATTCTCTCCACCGTGATAAAAATATAGTAAGGTAGAACCGCTGAGAGTCACTTTTGAAATTCTTGACGTTTCCAAACAATTTAATTTTTAACTTTACTCACAAACTCACACACTCATTTTCATTTTCAATCTCAAGCAACAACAATTTCGAACAACTTCAATTTTTTATTTTCACTTTTATATGATTTTAAAATGTTGGCAAACTTCAAAAAAAAAATCGTGGCCGACAAATTGAGAGAACGGTTCTATGTTTTTATCATGGTGAGTTCTACCCATTCGCATTCTTCTATTATTTGCTCCAAATCGCTCTGCGGAGTTAGCGGCGAATTACTGCAGTTCAGCTGGTCTTCCCAGCACCATTGCAAGTTGGAGATCGTTTTGCAAGGGATAATGGAAAAAGTATTACATAAGAGCAATTCATCTAAACGCGTAAATGCCTCGTAACCATGTAAACCTCGTAAACGTACTTAATTTTGTATGGAAAATTGGTTTATTTACGAGGTTCACGCGGTTACCAGGCATTTATGCATTTCCATGAATACCCATATACATATGTATGACCAACTGAATTCCACTACTAAGTACATGTGTAGCTTACCTCCTAGTAGCACCGTGTTTCATTGGAAACTGCGTGGACTTTAGGTAGCACCATTCTGTGTTTTCGTCTGCAGCGGACCCCGCATTGGACTTTTGTGTCGCCACCTCACGCACAAATCTATCGCTCTGTGATTTCCAGCGTAGCTTACTTTGTTCCACTATTGTAAATAGGAAAAACAATGGTGAAAATTCGCCCTATTCAAAAGATTTAGCGAATTCAAAAATCACCACTAACCTGACGCTCCCGTGGAAATCGCTGCTGCCTGCCACGCTCGCTCCGTCATCATTTTATTTCTAAAAAGATGACAGTTTTTGTCAAAAAGACACGGGTGCAATTTAGTTTCCTCTATGAGCTTTTCTTCCATTTTTTTATTTCTGAAAAATTAAATTTAAACGCTTATGTATATACAATATATGTTATCAGAACATCATATTTACCTTTTTGTCTGATGTGTGCTATGAGTGTAAAGGCGCTGGCCCAATGCCGGCTTGCTTTGCACGCCTTGCTTACTTTAATTTGCTTTGATTTACTTCAAAAACTCGTTTGGCCAAATGGCGGCTTGGAACGCTGTCAAAGCAACCAGCTGTGTAGTTGAAAAGTCAAGGTCTGTTTCCTTACACTAAGAATAATTTTACCATCAAATTCCAGAAAATTAAAAAAAAATAAATACAAAACAATCTTTTCAGATTTATTTTTAAATGAATGTGAATTAATTTTTGCATTTCAAAGGAATGATAATAATTATACATACATATATAACTATATGTACATTTATTAGAAACAAAAAACTCAAAAAAATCGATTTTTCAAGAGGCGACTTACCAGTAGTTTGACATAATAAATATCGCTAGCTTTGTGTGAAAAGTTGATAAGTCTGCATTTTATGAAGCCTCAAATTTTGGCATAGAAAGTAAGAGAAATTGAGGACTAAGGTAGATACTTGTTTTATTTTTCCTCGTTTATATTCAATATGCAATATGGCCAAAATAATACGAATTTTTTTAACAGAGATCGAATCCTTCTGATTTGTATGGAATTTTTCTTTGCTTTAAACACGCAAAATGTTGTATTCAGAGTTCCTGTAAAATTTGTAAAATTGGACATAGCAACTTTTCACTTTAAGCCAGCGACATGTTAAATATAAATATGGAAACATAGATTACTTTTTATTACACATATACATATATTTTTTTAAATTACGTAAAACAATTTTTGTATCTACATAAAAGTCTGCAGCAGTTTGTTTGAATTGATTTAAAACGGGAACATATCTTTCTGTCAAAAGCCTACGAAACGCTTTCAAATAAAACATTTGCCTATTTGAAACTTTGAGGCGCTTAAAGCAAGTGGAGCAAAGCTGCCATTTGGCCACCCTTCATACGTTTTAGTATATTCCAAATAACTTTTGACAGTTTTCAAAGCTAAGCAAGCAAAGCAAGCCTGCATTGGGCCAGCGCCTTAAGGAAATAAATACAAAAATTATATCAGCTGATAGTCAAAGCATAAAAAAAATGAGTGTTGCCCAAGATTTTGCTTCGTTTTGCTTTGCCTCAAACGTTTTTTATGTGAGCATACTCATGCATATGCCTACATCGATATTATATGTCAAAGCAAAGAACTATCTAGCAAAGCGAAGAAAGTTGTATATGAATCATCCTGAAGGGTCTCCTAATAAAACATTGCAGCGATTTGCCCACTGTTGTCGCTTCACTTGACAATTTTGAATAGTATAGAGTTGACATTTCAGTCGCAGTTCAAAAGAGCGAAATGTCGAAATCACTTCTACCTTGTTATGCCTTGGTATATGTAAGTGTCCATATGTATATGTACCAACTAGCGATGTTAATTTTTTCGATTTTTACGATCCCGGGATTTTCGGGATGTCGTTATCACAATCCCGGTATTAGTACCGGGATTTAGATATTCATTACTTTTCAACAGCTTAAATCGAAAAAAATTGTTTATATCTCTCCTCCCATAAAATCAGGGACCGTAAATCATTTATGGATATATGCACCTTTAAGAAGCCGCGTATTGATGTTGATACGGACCTTATAGGTTACTAGGAGAGTAAAAAATTTATATATCCCCGAGTTAGAGATCTGGCATGTATTATACATCAAGTGCCAGGGACACAAGTTAGTGTAGAACGCGCGTTCTCAGCACTAAGCTTATTCTTAGCGATTTGCTATACAATTTGTCGGAGCAGGACTTGGCAGCTATGTATGTATATTAATTGTTAAATTGAGTTCCGAATCATTCCTGTATAAAGGTGAATAACTTAAAGCTTAAATTAAAGAAGCTGAATATGTTTACAGAAGATAGAAAACTGCAATTGAAAGGATGTGCATTTTTTATTAAAACATATTGTATTGTGAATATATAAACTGCTATTTTGACCGAAAAAGTAAGTGAGATTTAACTTTTATAATTGACCGAAAAAATAAGAGTCAAATTCTAACTTTTATATTTGACCGTAAAAATAAAAGCAAATTTTAACTTTTATTTTTGACCGAAAAGATAAAGGAAAAATTTTAACTTTTATATTTGACCGATAAAATAAAAGTCAAGTTTTAACTTTTACTTTTGACTTAAAAAATATCAGTCAAAAAATAACGGTTAAATGCTGAATTTTTTGAAAATAAAATCATATAGGATTAACATTCCTTGACTAACAAACATCACATTGCTATACATCGGCGTAGCCAGAATGAAATTTAGGGGGGGGTGGGGGGCGGGGGGGCTCGACCCTATTAATCTGGCAAATCAGGGTACTATTTTATATATATATATATAAGGAAAATTTGAAAGTTAGGGGGGGCTCGAGCACCCCCCTGCCCCTACCTGGCTACGCCCATGTTGCTATATACATCAACGCGTATCAACTACAGGTGATAGCGGTAGAAGCCATGCTTCTTCTTATGAGCACGCTTGTGTCGAACTATCGCCTGTTTTGCTTTGTTTACATATCCGCGTATACATACATATATACTAAATATATACCCTGCAAACAAATGCTCCCGAAATCTTTAGGAGTATCGGAAATTTGTTACGATTCTTTTTGGAATATTTAAAAAAAAATATTTGAAGCGGTTGGCAAGAACTATTAAAGAAATTTTTGTACGATTTCTTAAAGAAAATTCTTTAAAAAAAATGTGAAACCTTTCAGAATACTCTCAAATCCTGGTATGCAGGGTATACATATACATACGAATATGAATATATAAAGAAACTGTTGATGACACAAGGAGTTCATACTAGAGATGGGCGCGTGAGTAATATTGGCTCACGTTCACACACGCTCACGTTAATGGTTTTATAAATCACGCACACTCACGTCTTGCTGTATTTTTTTCAATCACGTTCACGCACGCTCACGACGCCAATTTTTGCAATCACGCACGCTCACGCACGGATTCTCACGGACATTTTTTTCAAATTGAAACTTTATTTATATAAATAGCATTTCATATAAATAAGCTTTTAACACACAAGTATTATTACAGAAGCTTGGACGAACGCCTAGCAAGGGCTGAAGGCACTATTATTATTTTAACAAATTTCAGATATACTTATGTATCTAATACGAGTATAAAAAATAATTGGTATCAATATTCATTCAACGTATGTAATTTTAAAATGACATTAGCTCATATTTTTTGTTTAAAAATAATGTTTTGTCGAAGTTTTCACCAAGCAGTCGTGTACGTCTTTCTTCCAGAATTCTGCCTGAAACAGAAAAAACTCTTTCACTAGTTACTGAGCTAGCTGGTATGTTTAAAATTTGCCTTGAAAGACTTCCAAGAAGTGGTAAATCTTTAGCTTTCTCCCAAAATTTTAAAACATCGTCACAACTTTTGTTTTCCGGTTTTTTCAAATAAATCTGTATTTCCGTATTAATTTTTTCAAAAACTGTTTCTGCAAATTAATTTGATGCATCTTTAAATTTGCCAAGTTGCACGAGTTTTTGCCCCTTTCGAGGTAGAAGGAATGTCATGATGCAGAATTTGGAAATCGTGCTGAGGGCGAGCACTCTTTTCTTCAAGTACATTTCTACCTAAGTTATGTTCAAGCATTGCCTTTACTGTTCCTATTATATGTTCGTGCTGTTCTGCAGATAAAAACTGTAACTTTTTAAACGGAGGGTTTAAAAACAATCGCAGAAATTGGACTGAAGTTGATTGGAATATTTTATTTAAGTTTAGGTAAAAAATTATAACCGAACCACTTTTTGCCAAGTTTTAACGTTTATATTTGTTGTTATTGAACTTTTGTTAATTTTTTAAATAAAAAAT